ACTAGCCAGTCACTGGCTTTTTTTTTCCTTCCAAGAAAATCAGACTTTGTAGGCTTAGAGATCTACCTGTCTTCCTGTTGGTATATATTTTTAAGATTAATTTTTTTATACAGTCTGCAGCCCATGCATTTCAGTGGTGTCAGAGTTTTATTGTGACAGTTGTCAGTCTTTAAAAGTTCAAGAGCAAACTGAAGGCAGCATGCAGTTTTCAGAAACCAAGATGTGAACCAACTAGTTTATTTTCACACATTTTCTTACTCCTTAATAATGTAATTATAGAGCTTTCAGGGCAAACTGTGGCAAGCTGAGCTGAATATAAAGCAACAGTGCTCAAAACTGAGCCATCCAGAAACATTTCAAATAATGGCTAAGGAGAAGAGGGGAGGGATAAATAATTTCTCTCTTAACAAAAACTGGTTTGCACTCCAGCCACCTTCGCTTTCTTGCCCAGATGTTGCCACAGGAAGGAAATAACAGAATATAAATTGTGCCATATAAAGCACAGATGGGAGCAAGCTCTCACAAGAACATATCTTCTCTTTCAGCCCTTTCCTAGCCTCTCCCCAGGGTCCTGGACTAATGATGTCAGATTGAGCCCATATGTCTGGAACATCCCTGATAACATCCCACACACACAGCTTGGAGAGAAACAACTGGCACTGCAAAGAGAGACTGCCCAGCCCAAACAGGGCCCAGTTCCCACGATGTTTGTCCCAAAGGCAGTGGGGACTCAGCCTGAGCCTCACAGCTCAGAGAAAATGGTTGCAGCTACCAGTGGTAATGAAGGGGTTTAAGCATTTAAACCAGTCTAAATCCAAGGTGCCCCAACCCTGCTTCCTCCCTTGGGTTAGCTGTGCTGCTTGTGTAACTCAGGGAACTGATCCAACTGCAAAGAACCCACTGTCAGATCAGTTCTCTGGACTGGATCACTGTGCAGTTGTGTGAGTACCTGGAGGAACACAGAGCAGGGGGAGCAATGAAACAAGGCACAGCAGCAAGCCTGGATTACATGATCTCTATCTGCCTTAAAACTGTACAGGATCAGCTCCAAGTACCTCATCCTGAGGATGATCTGTAATTCTCATGGATCAGAGCATGAGCACTCATGAGCAAAATTCTACTTATTCCCTACACAACAGCGGGTATTAGCATGAAATTGAGTCCTATAATGGATGGTTTCCCCTTTTCTCTTCAGCTTAAAATCATCCCAACAAGCCTAATTCAACGTGCAAGTGGAATGTACCCTCCAGTGAAAACTCCAAGTCACTGCAGTGTTACTTGTGAATATTTTTACTTCTAGCCCATATACAGCATGATGCTGGGAGTGCATGCTGCAGAGGATGCTGACTTTCAGTGACATAAGGAAAAAACCAAACTAAAACCCATAACATTCATTTATTCTGCCCTTAGCTTTTCTCACAAAGATTTACACATGTGCTGAACCTCATCTCTAACACACCTGAAAAATTTAGCATCTTCCTTTCATCCCAAAGTCTGTCTTCTTGTCCATCAGCTGTTGGGACCCTAACTGCACTAATAGCTCTTAATTGCCCAGACCAGCCTCAGCTGGGCTTCCACTCCCACTCTGACAGTGACTTCATTTAAGTTTGGGCTCTAAGTAGAAACATAGAATGGTTTTGGTTGGAAGAGACCTTAAAGATCATCTTGTTCCAACCCCTTGCCATGGGCAGAGACACCTTCCACTATCTCAGGTTGCTCCAAGCCCCATCCAACCTGGCCTTGGACACTTCCAGGGATGGGGCAGCCACAGCTTCTCTGGGCAACCTGTGCCAGGGCTTCACCACCCTCAGAGGGAAGAATTTCTTCCCAACATCTAATCTAAATCTGCTCTTTTTCAGTTTAAAGTGATTCCCCCTTGTCCTGTCACTCCAGGCCCTTGTCCAAAGTCCCTCTCCAGCTCTCTTGGAGCCTGATTAGGCACTGGAAGCAGTTCTAAGATCACCCTAGAGCCCTCTCTTCTCCAGGCTGTACAACCCCAGCTCTCCTGCCCTGTCTTCCCAGGAGAGGTGCTCCAGCCCCTGACCATCTTTGTTGCCTTCCTTTGGACCCACCTAACCAGGTCCGTGTCTTTCCAATGCTGGGATGACAGAGATGAGTTGTAGGTGACTTTGCTGCTAATTCTGCTCCTGAATTGCTGTTTGGGTTTCCTGGATTGAGCTTGTTAACCTTGTTTTTGCCTGATGGTCACTGGACCCCTTGCTGCCAGTGCTCTGCTTGCCCTTCTCTGGTGCAGTCAGACTGTGCCCTATTGGTGAGGTCTTTGCTTGGCTTGTGTTGTGCTCACCCTCAGCTCTGGATTCCTTGTCCTGAGGGACAGCAGTAAGAGTTGGGTGAGGGTGGGCAGGGCTGCCAAGGCCCTGTGCACTCAGGACTGTCAATATTGTATTGGTCTGCAGCACTTTTTCCCAGAACAAAGTGCCACCCCACCACCACCGTTTCTGCTGTCAGCACTATTTGCTTTAATCAAAACATAACTACATTTCAGTGTGGCTCATTATGCTAAATGAAAGCAAGAGGGGGCTAATGTGCAATGTGAATATGCCAATTACATGGCAATCAGAGGTATCCTTAAGACAGGTGAGTCTTTTCTGCATCTTCTTAGAACACTCATGACCTCATCTGTTACATTTCATTCAGGGAATACATTTAAATGTCTAACTTTCTTTTTTTTTTGGTAGTATTGTTGGAAATTATTTAACTTTCCTAAAATTTTAATTAACCGTAGCAGTTAATTAGATTCTTTTTACTTACCGACTCTTGTCAATTTGATCTTTAAATCATGGAAGTTTTGAGTTTCTCTGGACTAGCTCTGATAAGTTTCAATAAACAAAACTTGAGAGAGCTGAGGATTGAACATCTGGGATCTTAAATTTATGGTTCTTCAAACACATGTTGGAGTAACCCAAAGAATGGTAAGAGGATCAAATAATGTGGACCAAATTAGTACTTTATGTACTAATTAAATGAAGAGAACTGTGTAACTCAGAACCAATTAATGTGAATTTGTTTGCTAAACCATATAAATACATGAAAAGTCTTGGAAGGGTACAGCTAGCTGGAATGATTCGTTACCTATCTCTGACCAAATAAAGCAATGTCTGGATCATTAACACGTAGTGTTGGAGGGTTTAATTTCTTCCCGACGATTTTCGGTGACAGTATTGTCCATCGTGTTACACTTGAAATTAAAGAGACAAAACCGCTAGTTTGCGCAACTGCTAAGGGGCCAAGTGTTAGCCCTCAGTGGGCAAGACGGTGTTAGCACATTTAATGTTCAGTTTTTTAAGGGGAACTGAAGTGTTACTCTCAGAAGTGTAACCCCACACCTCCCCCGGGTCAGCCTGCACAGGGACGGTGGATGTGGCCCTGCCCTGGGAATGGCAGTTCTGAACACACCAGCCAGGCTGTCCATTAGCGACCTGTGCCCCGAGCGCTGAATTAACACCTGGAGCGCAAAACTTTCTGAATCCCTTTCCCAAGCCTGAGTCACTAACCTCTCCTCCTTGAAAGTCTGAAAACCCGAGACGCCTGTGGCTACCCCGCTAAACGCTGTCGGAGTGTGGGCTCGTTAGAGCGGGCGCCGTCCCTGCTGGTGTGGCACCGTGGGGGTAAATCCC